ATTTTTTGGCTCGAAACGGGTCTACAGACAACGGGAACTGCTGAAGTACATACAGGTGCGATCAGCCAGAACAGGTTACTTTAGGGAGAGGACGATATAGATTGGATACGGAAGTATCACTTTCCACAGTAGTACTGTGAACATTAAAGCCGCAACTCATCACATTTAGGGGATCACATTTTTCCAAGCACATTGATTTTGTAAGGTATCCAAAGGTACCAAGAGTGGTGACCAAACCTTGACCTGGCAGAGGGGTATGAAAGAGATTACGGGACGCTTGGGTGCTGTCGGTGATACCTGCCTTTCAGGATGGAAATCGCGAGATGCCTACTGCATCTGGTTGGAGGCGCTGCAAGATATGGCTGTTAATCGATGTCAATGGCGTTTGTGTTGTCAGTTTCCATCGAGCGTCTGGAGATGTGGGCACCTCGGAATGATTACACTGATAGCAAGAAGTCCCTTCCCCATCCACTTTTATTCTTTTCTTCACAATGCGGCTTTCAAAGAAATCGTGGTTGCACGGCAGCGAAGCATCAATGATAAGTACTGAGGTCATACTGTCCATGATGATGATGATGATGACATAGATAGAGAGAATGTTGGCCTGACCTTTACTCTGTGAATACTAGACAAAACGATAAATAAGAAAGCAAGGAGTCGTGCCATAAAGAGGCGCAAGACGGTGATTTCTGCGTTCCAAATCATTTAGCTAACATTTAACGACGCACAATGTGACCTCATCTGTATTGTCCGCCTTAGAATCCGACCAACCGACGATATATTACTACCGGGACAATTTTCTCAGTAACTGTTGTGGTTGAAACCCACCCCTGCTCAAAACGAGAATTTCCTTCGTGAGAAGCATTACTCATAAGGTTACTGACTGCTCACTAGCGATTTGCCCTTCATAAGGCTAATCAGACAGGCGAAGTTTTCGAGTTTCTGTTAAACCTATGTTCCATTTGAAATTGCACGTAACTGGGAAAGTGATCTCATTTTCAAAAGGACTCAAGCGAATCTGTCATTCGTGATATCCCTCGAGAATAACCTCTATCTAAAGAACCTCAAAAAGGGCAAGGTCGGTGGTGAGCTGAAAAATGATCTTCAGCAACCTTGTGAAAAAACAGACTCCGGTTCCGGGAATATTACGCTGACTGAAACGTGAGGCGGCCTTTATGCAGTACATTTGGTTGATGAATGTCACAAAAGAAAGAGAGAGTTAAGCAACCTGCTTAGGGGTGTACTCCACCAAGTGAGTGGGTTGATTGGGAACCAAGTTTGCTCTTGCTCAGATGCCCTCACACAATTACAGGCCGATAGAGTTGAAACAACTGAAGACAGTCACCATTTCACCCAAAACACCATGCTAACATAATTTTGCTGCAATAGCTTTTTAGATCAGGTGAACGGTGTACTTCATGTGGATTGTAGGCTCAATCAAGGACGAGTGTCTAGCGAACTTACGTTGGACTGGAGTTGTCCGACCACCAGCTAGAGACTGAAATGATCGTTGTACGAATCTCCAGGGAGATTCGAGTTTCGCTTGGTGTGCACTGCACGATGTCTCTTGGTCTTTCGACTGGCTTCACTTACAGGACAGAGTATGAAGGAGATCACGAAACGCTTGGGTGCTGTCGGTGCTACCCGCCTTCCAGGATGGAGACCGCGTGATTCCCACTGTGCCTGGTTGGAGACACTACAAGATATGGCTGCCAACTGATGTCAGTGGCGTTCTTGTGGTCAGATTGCCTGAGTGAATATCTGGAAGTTTGGGCACCTCGGAATGATTGTGGTAAGCTGGCACCAAGTCCCTCTCCCATCCACCTTTATTCTTTTCTTTACAATAAGTCTTTCAAATAAGTCATGGTTGTACGTGCAGGCAGCATGGTTATCAACAATGAACTTGCTGTGTCTGATGATGATGAAACCTGATCATAGGGAGCTTGGCACCTATTTGACCCGAGAAAGCATAAGTCATGGTTGTACGGCAGTGCAGCATGGTTATCAACAATGAACTTGCTGTGTCTGATGATGATGAAACCTGATCATAGGGAGCTTGGCACCTATTTGACTGACCCGAGAAAGCTTGGATGACCTAGCGGATCGAGCAGTTGATACGCAAGTGTTATGCGAATAGCACACATTCTCAACTCGCGCATTAGGTTCAGCTGTCACAGTGTAGACAGAATAATTCTCAGTTAACCAGGGGGTAAAAGCCCACCCAAAAAAGCCTATTTGTCCAATAAGTCACATCCTTGTCCAAGAACCAATTTGCCGTCGAGCGGAAAAGAGGCGCAGCTAATGGAAATCAATAAACTCAACTCACTTGATAATGCCTCTTGGAGTTCGTGCAATTTCATGTGACTTGCGGTGGTTTGGTCAATACGCACTTTTGTTGCAAGTTTGCATAAGTAGAAGAAAAGCTGTGAAGGTAAAGCATATCCTGGTATAAGAAGAGTGCCTGAAACAGCCTTGTTGGTTTACGAGTCATGGTTTGCTTTGGCTAAAAGTGATTTGCAACGGTCTAGGGAATTTAACGTGTATGCGACAGGCACTTTAGTTCGGCCTTAAGAGAGGGTGAGTAGACCTTTAATGGGAATCATCATGGGTTCCTCAACATTCAAAAAGAAGCATCCTGTCGCAAGTCCAATTAAAAGCTCTGTTCCATGGGGTTCTTTGGGTTCTCATGATAACTTTTCGATCACTATCCGGTTACAATGGTGGTGCGCGATGAGATTCTCGGATGAATTTTGACCGCTAAGCATAATACAAAGGTAGGTTCGGGTATTTACCCAACTTTTACAAATTAAACGATTGAGTGGTCAACAGTCTCATCAGTACACTGGGGAACGAAGGTATCTAGCGATGAGAATAACCTTCGAAGAGATGCTAACTCCCTCAAACTTGAGGTGCAAACATGTGTGAACGTACATCGTCCTGTTTCTATGTGAAGCTATGACACCATTGAGGTAGTCCTTATTTGCAGTGCTTCACAACCAATTTTAGAAGTTAACTTAGCCTGCATCCTACTTCATAAATAGTCATCCCTCGAATCCGAGGTCTGGAGAGAGAAAATGTCATCTATCATTTCAAATACGTCATCCATGTTAGCACGACCTGATGTTTGATTCGCCCCAGTTTCAACTACTCTAAAAGTTATAAGCAGTGCAAATAAACTGTGAAAAGTAATTCTAGTATGCCTTCGGCTGAACTCACTTGATCTCTCTCATCCCGTTGCTGATCACGAAGCACATGTGAACTACCCAATTCTGACTCCAGGCGTCTGATTTGCTCTCGCAAGTGTTCATTCTCTTTATCTGTTCGATTAATTTGACGTTCGTATTCATGCCGAGACATTTGATCTCTGTCCCAGCGCGAGGAGAGTTCGGATATGCGCGACTCAAGTTTTACGCACATCTGAGGATATGAACGGTAACATAGATGATTAATAGGTAAATATTCATGCGAATAAAACACACATACACTCGCTTCACATTGCTGCTCTTCTTGAGAGGAGGTCAACCTAAGGTTAAGAACTTTTGGGAGAAATCCCTACTATCTTTTCCCAGAACGAAAGCAAATAGTCCCAACAGGTATGCTATTCACATATCTGCTTCATGTTCATTGGGCGGCCAGTGTCATTCGGGAAATACTACCCACCATCTTGATAGGCATAAACATTAGTTGGTAGTACTAATGCTTAAAAAGGTGTAGGACGATGTTTCCCTTCATCAATCGTAAATATATACCGCCCGTTTCCTCAGTCCTACGCACTTGTTTTGTGCATCCCACTGCATACTGGCCGGACACGTTTCTGAAATAACGCATTTTACTTGGTGACTCAAAAACCTTAGCTTGGCATAAGTTTTGGGAAGCATAAAAGCAAGCAGGAACAAAACTACGACTGTGGAAAGCAAGAATACTACTCATATTTATGACCGAAAGTCCGTTGGTGGTGATGTCAGAATCAAATCTGCTCGACAAAACTTAGATCGGGAAAAAATGACCGTAACTTTATTCAGCTGGTGTGTTTGATATCGAAAAGTTAATGTTTGCCGTGTTTTCCTCAGGGGCAGTTCCATAGTCACCCTCGTCAATGCTTTGCTGCCAGCTCATAACCGGCTTGTTTTTTCTTGTTCTGGAAACATGTATCGGTGTGAGGACGTCAACCTGAGGTTAACGTGAACCTGTTTATGTCTCCAAAGACATGCAGGTGATCCATCCATGTGTTTTGTTTAGGCTAACGGAAGTTTCATCCTCCAAATGAAGCCTGTCTGTGCTGAAAAGCTGTGAAACACTACACAGCTGCCTCAACCTCATTGGAAATCAGCAGTAGTGCGCATCATACGAAACTCTAGTTGGGAGTGCCGAAGTTTGAAGAATTAACCGTTTGGTCATCATCATCATCATGATCATCGACAGCATGGCATCAGTGTTCAACCGATGCCGTACAACCACGTTTCATTTGGGAGCCTTGTTGTGAAGAAGGGAATATAGGTGAACGGGGAAGAGACTCACTCAGGCAATCTGAATAGAAACTGTTCAGCAAAGTGATCAGGAATATCTGTCCAGGCGTTTACTCATTCTTCGATCACGGGATCCACTTCACAGCGTTGTGGTTACTTAAGAAGCCAGCCAAAATGTGTGACCACATGATGTGGACTTCATGACTAAAGAATGACGGGCGCTTTATTCTCTCTAAGTGCGAGTTGATCAAGCTGCTAGTCAGGCTCTCCTGGCCAAACGGTCAAGTTTTCAAACTACTGGTCGGGAAGACACGGTTTCAAGATTTTCTACCATACTTTCTTGAGGTGCGCACTGGTGGTGATTCCCAATAAGGATGAAACAGCTGTACAGTACTTCACAGTTTTTCCAGTATAGACTGGTTTCACTTAGAGGAGGAGATCTCCACACAAATTCCTAAATCTCCCCACACTACCGACAACCTCATTTTCAGTGAAGTTCCTTCCCGAGCATGAATGGCCCTGTTCGTTCTACTCTCACCGTGATTTAAGGACACGGATATGTACGGATGAACTTTACCTCTTTCTGTTCCTTGCACTCGGTGACTATACGACGAGCGTGTTCTTTGATGGCCACTTCCGTCGGGCTGCACGGGTAGTGCGGAGAGGAGAGGATGGCGGCAATATCGTCTCTGTGGGTAGGAAGATATACCGGAGGAGGATTATTCACTTGAACCTCACAGACGGAATCCGAACATCAATAACGACATTTCAGCATCATTATTCATGTCCCCGAGGACCAAAAAAGTGAGGGATACAAGGATACCACCAGGAGGTAGCTCCACATCTATCGCATATCAGTATGATTGTGGTTTATCGGATCCTACCGTCACCTACAGGTTGAGCACGTGAAGATGCCTCACGCTGATAATCTTTCATGTTCTCCACTCCCCACACTCTCAACTGCGATTTCGTACCGCACAATTGGACATCCCAGAACCACGGAATTTACGCCAAGTGGTCACTTTTTTACTTGCTCCTCAACCTTTAGCTGAAAGTTGCACGCAACCTTTGAATTATTTGCCCTTCTAGATTATTTATAAACTGTTGATAATAAGAAGATATTAGGAACTTTTCGTTCATGAACTGCCAAAATCACCTCACACCGACAACCAAACATTCCCTCATAAAGTCCACTGACAGAAGAAGCTCAAAGGCCCATCTTGAGGAATGACTTTTTCCCACTACACGTCGCTTGCAAACTCTGTCAATATAGAACTTCGCCGTAGAATAAAGTGCAGGTGTGTGGAGCTCCGGAACCCATCAAGCGATACTGATTGGTTTCCTTTTGACGCAGACGGAATCTTCCGTGCTAGATTGGCCGATGAATTGCAGTTTGGAGTGTGTTGAGTGTGTTCTGTGCACATTGTCGATGTCTCTTAGACTGAGGACGAAACGTTTGCATGCCAGTTTGCAAGATCAGCGAACAAAACAATGTGATCAACCACCAATGAAACACACTCGTTGTCCACCAAGATGTGTTTTGCAAAAACCCATACGACTGCGATTGTATGCCGGCCGACCTTCATCAACTCTCTTATGGCCAGAATTTCGAGACCAAAAGCATAGTACTTTGGACGCAAACGCTAATCGGGTTAATGTTGACATCTTCACCCTATGGTCTCACGCAAATCCACTTTTTTTCTATCTAATTCATTGGGAACAGAACCCTAACGACGACGATGTAACGTCCTGAAGATCTCGGCGTTAGCATTGCGTATGTGCTGCCCGTTTAGCGAGTCTTGTAGCAGAATATCTAGGAAGGTTATTCAGTTTAACTGTTTAGTGTGTTTGCTTCTGTTCTGAAGATATATAGTTGTGATTCCACCAGTATGGTTTCTAAAGACCTTACGGATGTTCTTTTACAGCTGGCTTAATGCTCAGGCAGAGCTGTAGTCAATGGCGCTGTGATGCAGTGGTACATAGGCTACATACTACTAAGGTTAAATTGGATGCTAGTCTCCGAATGTAAACGAGACTAAAGAAAACTATATGTGCGTTGATAGCAGAAATTCTTCATCAGAATTGTTTGACTGCATCTTGTCTACTAAAAGCAGACTTCGGACTCATGCAGAACAATCTGCTATCGGTTGTCGATGCCGAGGATTGATCACCTTCTGTAGTTTTTTTCAGGAATCTCACTGTGGGCTCTGACGCCACTCTTTAGTGCATTTTCGGCCCTTGAATTCACGCGCATTTTGTCTGATCAGAGCTCGGAATCAAGCACATCTCTGCAAGCCATCTTCCTCCATGATTGCCAACTGACGGAGTCTTTGATAAAACCATGGATTTCCTGGAAGCCAAACGCAAGCAGACGTGGCGTCGTAAGGTAAGACACGAAATCTACTGGATGTGCTCAGTTTCTTCTACCTCACTCTTGCGATAAGTCCTTAGAAACTTCCGTTAAGTAAAATCATTTGGGCCACAAGGTCCGCCACATGTCCTTTGTACATTTGGACAGAGTATTTCAAGTAAAAACCCAGTTGAACACACTCTAAGTTCCGCAGAAAGTGTCGTCCTGAGGCGTCACTCTCGGCTGTGATAAGAAATGTCCTTCAGCCTCTGGATTATACAAGTGTACCCCATACACAACTCTCACCAAGCTTCTGATCCGGACAACTTTCCACTTTTCAAGCTCAAGGACGGTGACGAAGTCGTCAGTCAGTGCCGGTGTAGCTTATTTTCAGTCAGTCAGTCAGTCAGT